TTTGAAGTGGTTGGAGGCCTGGCCGGTAATTGAGACAGGTTTGAGAGACCAGAAGAACAGACTAGTTCACTTGGCAGAAAATTTCTGCGAACTTATTATTCGTTATTTTTGCGATTAATAAGGTGGAATCGCGAATAATACGTCATTTTATGGCTTATCGGACATTATATTACTTATCAAGGAGTAATATCATTTTATTGCGTTATCATTACGTTATATTACGTTATCATGACATTATATTACGTTATCATGGAGTAATATTCCTTATCATTCCATCAGAATTTGGGCAGATCAAGATCACAAGTTTTATTTGTAAATTTTAAAAAAGATCATAAATTTTAGCAAAAAATTTTGCGTTGCTGCAGTGTAAAAAAAAAGGAATTTACAAAGAGGCAATTCACGCCCTCCTTCGTAACTACGTAAACAGCGTAAAATCCGTAAACTTACAAACGTTTACAAACTTTTACAAAAATTGTCAAGGAAAATCAGTTTACAAACTTTTGTAAACTTACGCAGCTCACAGGCGTCTTTTAATTTTGTAAAGTATTTTGTAAACTCAATTTGCGGAAGAAAAAAATTTGTTCGATACAGAAATTTGGCATAGAGGTTGCTAATGGCTCCTAATGAAAGAATATGAAGTGAAATTGGAAAATTTTTCATCTGGAGGTACCCGAAGGGGTGACCCATACCGATTTTTCAAAATCATCCAATCGAGCTGAAATTTGGTATAGAGGCTGCTAAAGGCTCCTAATGGAAGAATATGAAGTGGAATTGGTAAAAAATCACATCCGGGACCCGTTGGGGTGACCCATACCGATTTCTAAGAAGTTATATATTCAGCTAAGATTTAGTGTGATTTAGGATTAGAATTTAGGAGGGTTGAATTTCGAAATTTTTATAGGAACAGCCTTCACTGTTCGTGGTATTTATTATATCAATAAATGCAGCTCCACAAATTTCTTCCATTAATTTCCGTTTTCTGGAAATGATCGGCATTTTGTTTCAATTATCAGATAAATTTTTACGAAAATAATTGCGAAAGTGAATTCACGGGAAGCTGTTTGTAAACGTTTGTAAGTTTACGGATTTTACGCTGTTTACGTAGTTACCAAGGGTGCGTGAATACCCTCAAAATTTGAAATTTCACCTCAAAATTTGACAGGTTTACGAAATTTTTATTGCGATTCTGATACGCCATTAAAAATAAAGTGACGCATTATATTTAAACGTAGACGGATAGATTCCAAAGTGTGGTTCGTGATATACAAAATTTTGCAAAAAAAATCTGCTACCTACATTCGCACAAAATTAGAAATTGATGATAAGCAATGCAAAATTAGTAACAACACAGCCACTCACATTTCATTCCATCCGACATTTTGCACACAAAAAAATGTGATCCATATATTTTCGCGTGGTGGAAGTTCATAGAAAACATTTCTCTCCTCCACTGATTTGCAATCTCGTCCAGTCCAGCGAGAAGAATGTTCTAGAATTGCAAACACAATTTTTTTGCATGTTGGTTGATTACTCATCGCAAAAAAAACGTTGCTGTTGTGCGAAACCAACCGCATCCTCTCTGCTTTTGCCATAACCTAATCCAACGTGAACACGAATGTCATCTCAAGTGACGCCAGTCTGCCGAAACAAGCAACAAACTCCACCAAGGTCGTTTCGTTTCATCCTCAACGTTTTTTTTCTGCACACATTTTTGAAATTTGCGAACCTTGTGTCAAATTTAGACATGCAGGTGTTAAATAAAAATCGTGAGTCGAAAATGCAATTATGCAGTCAGAATGGTTTGGAGGGTGGATTAGGTAAAAAAAACTTGTGAATTTTAGGGGACCCGACGTGAAGGATGGGTGAGTGGAATCGAATTTTATGGAAGTTTGACCCCTGATTGACCTCAAATTTAGAGAGGAAGGGTAAAATTCTTGAGAGAAAATCGAGTCTAAAACGGAATTATGCAGGCAGAATTTTAGTTTTGGTGAAGAACTAAGAAAAACATTTTAATTTATAATTTCGACGCCGTTACACATTTTTATGAGAATTTCTGTTAAAACTGTAACTTACCACAGATGAAATTCAATATATTTGACAATGACATTCTTCTTGTGGCATTTTTAAATCAAAATTTAAAATTTTCGTAAATTTCGTAAACATGCAATTTCGCATAAAAATTTCAAATTGCAATGTAACCATAATCAGTTGAAATGATGTCTTATTTTTGAATTTCTAAATATTTCCGTAATAAATTTCTATTTGATTTGTTTACTTTAATATTTTTACGCAAGAGAAAAAGATCAAAATAATCTTGGGTTCAGAATCAAATGGGGGGTGGAGATTTTGACCCCAAATTGACCTTAAATTTAGAGAGTACACACGTTAAATAAGAGTAAATTCTTGAGAGATAACGCAGTCGAAAATGCAATTAATTTTAGTTTTGGTTGATAAAATCCTAGATTTAGGACCGAATTTTGGGGGAATTTTGACCCCAAATTGACCCCTCTTTTGACCTTTAAATGACAAGCTTAATGCACAGTCTCCCATACAATTTAGATTCGCTGTATCTGATCCGATCTCATGAAAGGTTTCATGTATGTCTCGATTTTCTCATTGTTTCCTTCGTGCATGATCAGATACGAGAAATGCAAAAACGTGCAGTTTATTCGTAATGCAGTATAATTATGTGTGTATGCGTCATATTATGTAAATGAGGTACTTTTCTGGTACAAAAGTTGAAAGTGTGAGTCATGCAGTTGAAAATTGCAACTGTGCCAATAAGGTTTTGCGAGGGTCGGGTATATGTATGCAGAAAATCGGCATGTTTAACATGCCAGGTGCATTTTGTTGGTCGTTACATTACAATATGACCATTTTTGGATAAAATGTGCAGCTTTTTTATGAGTTCTTGTTTCCTTGCGGTAGATAAGTGCATGCACATAACAAGATAAGGGTTTGATGATAAGTATATAAATAAATACTTTTTTTTATCATCCGGTTTATTGGCTATCCGGTAATAAAATTGGTCATGATTTCTGACACAACCATTTCGCAAGTATTTATTTTGTGAGTTGGTTTGGTTATATAAATGAATAAACAAACAGATGTATGTATTTATGAGGAAAAATATTGCAGGATGCAAGTTTTGCAAGTTGACGTATTCTTTTAGCCGTTGCAATTTTAACGGTTTTGCAAAATAATCTGTCATCCGTTAAATCAAGAAGTGCAAAAATCTATGCAAAATCCAGCTCAATTTACGTCTGTCACGTATCTAAACTAAACTTCAGTTTTGCAAAATGATCATCCGTTAAACCAAGAACTGCAAACATGTATTTATGCAAAAATGCAACTCAATTTCCAGTTAGTTAACTAAACTTCGATTTTAAACCAACAACTGCAAAAATTTATGCAAAATCCAACTCAATTTTCAGTTAGATAACTAAACTTCAGTTTTGCAAAATAATCATCCGTTAAACCAATAACTGCAAAAATCTATGCAAAATCCAACTCTATTTCCAGTTAGATAACCAAACTTTCATTCCTGAGAGAACATAATTTTAAAGTTTGTTACAAACCTTGAATGTAAATATGTACCTCAAAAATGTGTATGCTTTCTTACACAACATGTAAATTATTTATGTAAATGTGAGATGACGGGCATTGTAAAGTTTTGTTCTGTATGGTCGTTTCATCAGTTTATTTGTAGTCTAGTCTGGATTTTAATAATGTGCATCTCGTCAATATTTGAACTCTTGTAAATACGTAATTACACTGTATTTACGAGTGGCGATATTTACATAACAAAAATGGATTCCATTCTTTTCAAGTACTTCGAGTCGTTAAATAAAACGTTCCTCTTGAGTCATGTCTCATGAATATGGGAATGAAATGAAATGCAGTTTGAAATGCATGCTGACAGATTTTAGGGCATGGATGGGCTGGAGAATTTAATGGTAATAACGTGACGAGAGAGAATTGATGCAGTTTGGGGGTGTTCATGTCAAGGGAGAAATTTTCAGGAAAGGGGGATAAATTTTCAGGAAAGGGGGATAAATTTGGGGAATTTTGGTATAAATAGTTAGGAAACTTTGGTGAAAACGTGGGAAATTTCAAGGGGAAAATTTTTATGTTCGATTTCACGATTTATGTCGGGAAATCGTATCCACAAATTTTCAGAAAGAGGGATAAATTTGGGGAATTTTGTGATACAAACTTTTATGAAAAACTGGGAGATTTCAATGGGAAAATTTAATGTTCGATTTTATGAGAGGTTTTGAAGTTGTGACGGAAAATTGTATCTTTTTGTGAGGAAAAGTTTCCCGAATTTTAGAGAGAGTTAAGAACTGTCACTTCCGAAATTTACGAAATTTACGACACTTTTTTGCAAACTTTTAAGTTTCCTGTCTAATGAAATACATTTGGGAAAGAAAATGATATCAAATTTCTACCAGGTTTCCGAAAATTTGTCACCTTTATTATCCCAATTTTTTACCCAATTTACCAAAACCTTGACGTGAATTAGCCTCAAAACTGCATAAAAATGTATACGTCTCAACCAACCCAACCCGTCTGTCATGTCTTTGGACTCATTAAATTACACAAAATGTTCCTCCTTCTTCTAAGGCTAACTTTGTGGGAGGAATTCATGTCTCGAACCGAATGTCCATGTCGAACTGGTAATTTAGTCAATTACGGCCTTCTCCTATTTTTTGTGGGTTCTCTCTTCTCTTTCGTCCTATCGTTTTCATTTCGTATTTATGCAGGATGATGCTGATTTTATGGCTCTTAGTCACCACCACTCCAATGTTGTTAAATTTCTCATATCCTGTCCATTTCTGGAATTGACTGGATGGACTGGAACGCAAATGGATGGATGGAAATGAATGATGCAAAGTAAGAAATGGTATCCAAAACCGGCATAACTTTTATTTTATGTATGTCCATACAGCCAACCATCATGGACAACTATGTGGCTAGCTGGACAAGTAAATGAAGTGAAACAGACAGTGAATAAGACAGACTCATCATCATGAAAAGCGACGAAAAGCTTGGATTTTGTACATAAAAGTGACGCTTCGCCACCACCGGGGCCCATTCCAGCTTTGCCCTTCGATCGAGACAGACTGAGGAAATTTTGTACGGAAAGTAATCCAGGTGAGACACTTTTTTTAGGGTGTTCTTTTGTCTAGTTTTGTCCTTATTGTCCCAATTTTGTTCTTGTTTTACCCGGTTTTTACTCGTTCTTTATTGCGCCGGCTGTTCTTTTTTTGGATCAGTGTCCCGGTTTTTTTAACGGTGAAATAATTCTGGGTAGAGAAAGTAAGTGAAATTCTGGAGGGGGTTAATAAATTTCTGAAATTTTGAGATTTCCTTGAGCCGAGCGGAAAAATAGGTGGCAGTTTTTGTAAATATTTCTGAAATTTTGAGATTTCCTTGAACCTAAAAGTAAAGTAAGACAGGTTTTGTCTCATTTTGTTTTAATACATTTTTAGTTCTGACGGTTTTGACTGACGTTGTTTTGCAATCGTTAATTTTTGCGACATTTTTGCATAATTTGCAACCTCAATTTTCCCATCTGTCTGGTTTTTTGACAGTTTGAGACAGTGAGTGATGTAAATGAGACGACGATCATCATCATTCGAATCGATATTGTCCAGTCCACCCTCAAAATAATGAATATGTACATGTCCTCCAACAAGAATAATAATAGCCGGACAATAAAGGACACAGAATAATTAGAGTAGTGTAATATCCACCGTTTAAATTTTTAATGAATTCTACCCACAAAAACACTTATCGATCCATTTCCGTATCTTCTTTTTTTATCTTATTTGCCTACCAGACCAGTTAAAAATACGTACATAAATCGATCCATCCTAATAATATCTTGTCTTTGTTTTCCTTTACAGATAACTCTCTTATCTCATCGAGAATCATGGCATCCATCGATTTCTACTACTTGCCCCTCTCCGCGCCCTGCCGCTCCGTTCTGATGGTGGCGAAAGCGGTCGGAGTGACCTTGAACTTGAAGCCGACTGATATCATGGCTGGGGAAAACAGGACTCCGGAATTCCTCAAGGTAAATAAATTACTAACTAAATAATTTGTCAAAATATAGTGTTTTTAGCTCCATTCATTCAAAACGTTTGGATTTCCGGAAACATAAACCTCCGTGCATACGATTTCCTAACAAAACGACGAGAATCTACGTTGATAATACAGCGTCGTATTAAAATACTCGTTTTGTGAATAAATTAGCTTTTAATTGCTGTCAAAATACTTCATGTTTATAAAATCGCGTTAAAAAGTTAATTTCTTCGCAAAATTTGTACTATTTTTCAGTATGACGCTGTATTCTCGATATAGATTCGCGTCATTTTGTAGCGGCCTTAAAAATTCAAGTCGTTTGGAAGAACGGAGCTCCAAACATATTGCAAAATATCTTGTCGATTTGACCTTCGACTAATCCTATCCTATAATTTACTACCCTTATCAACAGATGAACGTGCAACACACCATCCCCACCATGGATGACGGCGGCTTCTACTTGAACGAATCTCGAGCAATGCTGCAATACTTGGCCAACAAGTATGGCAAGGATGACTCTCTGTATCCAAAGGACCCCGAGGCGAGGGCACGCGTCGACATGAAACTGTTGTTCGACATGGGAACACTCTACGCCAAGTTTGGCGAGGCTTATGTAAGTTTGCAGATTATTATATATTTTGCAAATTATAATTTTTTTGCAAAGTATTAAATTATAATATTTTTTATGTTATCCAGTACCCCGCCATCTTCGGCAAGACTACGTTGGACCCAGCCAAGGTGGAAAAATTTGAGGAAGTCCTCGACTTTTTGGATGAGTACTTGACCGCGTCGAAATACGTGGCGGGCGACAATTTGACCATTGCTGACTACGCGGTGGCTTCATCTCTCTCCACGATCGAGGCCGCGGGTCACGACCTGTCCAAACATGGCAAGACTGTCGCCTACCTGGCCAAGCTGAAGGAGGAGATTGACGGCTATGCTGAGTTGAATCAGGAAGGCGCCGACCAGTTTGGGGGGTGGGCAAAGGGGGCTATTCAGAAGGCATAAATGATGAAATAAATAATTAATTATAGTTAATTATTATTCAATCTTTTCTTGCTTCGTCAGTATTAAAAAAAGAAGCCTAATTTAATTTAATTTAAAGTTTCATTCATGGATAACTTAGTTGGTAAAATTTCCTAATTTGAAGAATTTGAAAAAGCTTCATGCAAAAATGGAATAAATAAAGAAAATTGGCTAAGCTAAAATTAAGGGGGTTAAATTGTAGTCATTTTTTATGAAGGTTTGGTTGAAATGCATGGCATGATTTAAAATCGCATGTGATCAGGTTTTTGAAGGTTTTGTTTGTTTATTATCATTCCACGAAATGATAAGAATACTTTCGACATACATTTTCATAAATATTGCATAATAAAATCACATTTGACAAAAATATTCATTTTTTAAAGCTAGAAATACTATCGGATCATCAACCATCAAATAAAAAGATAACAGCAACTTATACAAAGATGCCTTCATATTTCATTTATAACTTACGCCAATAATTTAGCTATGGCGCAAGTTACGATGAAATGTAAGAGCACCTTAAGCATATTGTTTAATACAGAATCGTCAGACTTTGTAGATAAGATCGCTCGCTACTAATTTACGTTTTGCAGTGTTTGTTTGCATTGCATGTCACTGTCTCCTTCTTCTTGTTTACTAATACTCACGACGAGGACTCTGGGAGGAGCAGATTAGTCGTGGAGGAGGTCGCTTTAATATTCGGTCTTCTAAACTTGTTCAATAATTTGAACGGGTTGAGAATCCCGACGGCGAGAAGGCCAAGTCCGAAGGCGACGCGCAATGAAATGATATCATCGAGGGAGTCCAAATCTGCCAAGGCGGAACCGGCATTGACCGTGAGGAAGTTGTAAGGAGCGAGTCCTGTAATAAATAAATAAACAGTTTTACTTAAATTAAACCAGAAATAATTAAGAGGGTTAAGTAAACCATTAAAATTTAATGAGGATGAAGATGATAATTTTAATGGAAGTTCTGCATTTTTACAGTAAATTTGGATCTATAAAACCGTTTTATGGATACAAAGAAAATGAGCCAAGTTGCAAAATTAAAATTGAAGAGGTACTTTTTTCGGCAAAAAAATGTGTCATAACTTAATTAATTCGTGGCCAAATTACATTAAACATTAAGTTAATTAATATCCATCTCTATAAATGGGCATCATTGGATCTCTTACCGAGTAGGACGGAGAGGAAAAAGGTCCCCAGAGGCACCCCTACTATCGGCGAGCACATATTAATCAGCCAATTCGGACTCATTGGAAAGACACGTATACTAACAAGGAATTTGAACAAAGCTCTCTCCTCACGCCTTTTTTCCACCTGAAATATTTAACCATTCTTAAATAACACCCTTCACCTTAGCATGATAACCTTGACCTTGACCCACCATTTTTTGAAAGTATGCCACCCTGTGGGGCGCATATCTCACGAGAATCTCCTTCCCAAAGTATTTCGAAACGAGAAAGCAACTCGAAGCACCGCAAGCCGAGAGAAAGCAGCATAATGGGAATCCTGGAAATCAAAAAATAATTTCAACACATTTTTAAAATGATAAATTCCAAAGTTTGAAAGTGATTAACCTACCTTTCAATACTCCGAATAAAGCTCCACTCATCAAGTTCTGGGGGAAAATAATCAATTATTATTATTATTAGATCATCGATAATCAATAATTAATTGATTTTTTGATTACTAAAAATACTGATCCTGGAATGGCAAACGTTTGCTTGTATAAGTAGACCGAGGAGAAGAAGAGGACCGTGTAGGCGACCCTTTTTGTCGCATATTCTTCCAAAACTTCTTTCAATTCGAGGAGATGTTTTAGGTCACGGGGAAGTTGGAGGCGACTCTGCAATAAAAATAGACCCAAGTTAAGTTACTTACAATTTCATGGCGTAATTTAGTATTAATTAGTCAATTATTTGTGTATAAATTCCACGCCAAAATTAACTTTATTATGAAACGTCTCGCAAATTAAAAAAAACAGGTTAACTAATTCCCCGTTGCTAAATTTGTACCTAAATTATAGTTGATTAATCAATCAAATAGCTCTTCACTTACATCTGGACCACTTAAATAATACAGGAAATAAATAAATCCAGTTGCTGCAAGAATTAACAGAATTAAGGTCACGCTGTTCCGCAGGATGGCCACCATCGCCACACCCTTGTGACTACTAAAAAACGACGATCTCCTTTCTTATAGGAATGATAATAGTTAAGTCATTAATTAATTATTTATTTGTTTAAAATTATTAATACTGAGGAAATTTGTTATGTGAGTCAGCGAGATGACAGATGATGGAATATTGTTTACAAAAATAAATCCGACCCGCTTTGTTTATCAACATGTCATATTCTATAGAAATCTCATTTTTCATGAAAATGCATACATTTCCGGTGTGACCATGAATTAGTCGTTTGCAAATATGAAGGAATGGTACGTATGATATAAAAAAAACTAAATTTTAGTGCGTCGTGACCGTGGCAAAGCTGAACAACTTTGGTCATCCGATTTGCACGAGTTTTCAATAAAATCCTCTTTCTTGCTTGCTAATAGGTCATGTGAAAATGAAGCTCGGCCTTCTCACGGTCACGACAATTTTATTATTTTTTGCCTTGAACCTCGACGCAGATAAGCCCTTATCACATTTAAAGGTTATTTGAAATTACTCAATTGTCAATTATTATTAATATATAATTTAAAAATATATTTTTTCAAGAAAAATTACAGATCCTTTTTTGTCTATTTATACAATTGCATCCTTAAAAATTTATTCCGTTGATAACGGCTGAACAATTAAAAAAATAACTGTAAAGGGTTTCGCAAGTTCTACATAAATATTTTGATAATAAGCCAAATTAATTTCGCCAATGTATTTGTATTGAAAATCTGAAGTAAATATAAGTAATGTAATACTTTCTGATTCCCCCTATTTCACCAATTTTCAATGTAATCCAACTAATTGTTTCAAAATTTTGCTTAAAAAATAGCTACACGTGTCATTTTCCAATAGTAATATCTGTATCTCTAATTAAGTGCAATGTTTTTACTGTAAAAACACTCTAAAAAAGCTGCTAATTCTCCTAGTTCAGATAATTCATGACCCATCCGATAACGGTTTCCCGGTCAGGGTCATTGTTTTCCAGCATATAAGGCGTGTACGGTTGCACAACTATGCAACCTCCCGTCGTTACAGATTCCCCGACAAGGTAACTAATTATTCCGTCAATGACTTCATATTTTGTAGATCTTACGACCACGGCACCCTTCAATACCCAGCAAATCTACAAAAAACAAGACGAAATAAATCATTTCATAATCAAACAAAAAATTGAAAAATAAATTCATTACAATCTGAGCATTTTTAGAGATGCTAAACGGTTTCGACGCTTTCGGAGCGATGTTAATATATCCAGTGATGGTATTTCCATAAACGCCCAAAGGTGCAAGCCCCACGCCTGGATGAGATTGTCGAAACCTTGTTCCTGAACCGAAAAGTTGTTTAACATCGGCAGGATAGTTGATGAGGGATGCTCTGATGTCATCGTCCTCTGGGTTGTCTGAATTCATAAATTTTATAAACTCAGCCTCGTCAACCCTTGCTTCAAATTTGTTATCAAAAAAAGAAGCCATGTTCTCGTCGTCAGGATCAATGTTTCGAGAGGGCATACGTCGCCGGATTGGAGCCAGACAACGTGAAATACTTTCTTCCTCGTCATCTTTGCCTCCCACTTGCTATAATTTAAAGGAGATTTAGTAAAATTAAGATTTTTGAGACGGGAGTAGTATTTTAAGGACTTACGACGATTGATGAGGAGGTTGACGATGGTAACGACATTCGGCTTGATTTTGTCACATCAACGGGACGAATCGCCTTATGATAAGTTGGAGATGGAGAGCGTGAACGTGGTTGTGTAAATTTTTCTTTTTTCAATGCATTCTTCTGCTGGGGAGCAAAACTTGAAGGGTCTTTCTTCATTGAGAATTTGCTAGAAGTTGTGAGAGGTTCATATTTTCGATTTTTTACACGATGTGAAAGTGATACAGTTGCCAGTACCACTCTTGACCTAAGCTTTTTAATTTTCAGAGTAGTGTTTTCTCCAGAATCTGAATACTCCTCTTCGCTTCTGTTTTGATCATGATCACCAAGCTCCAATTTGGGGGACACTTTAGGGAGGCAAACAATAACACCATGAGTTTTATATGTGTACATATTATAGATATTTACAGTAAAAAATAGTTGACAATTAATTTACCCATTTTGCGCTTGTTAGAGCCGAAATTAAAGTTGAATAGTGAATTTTTAGGAGCGTTTATACTTATATCCTAAAAAATGAGGAAAAAAGAAAATAGTTCATATTCCGAGCTATATGCATAAATATTTTTTAATCAATGATGATCGTCAATTAAAAATAAATTTCCATACCTCGATATTCGTTGGAAAAAAGACGGTACGAGAACGAACCATCTGTAACAAATTTTTATTATTATCTTGGAACGATCTCGAGACTTTTTTCTCCTCCTTTACAACAAATGAAGCCTTCTTCATGTTAAAACTAGTGAAAAACTTTTTGGAAAAATTAGTTTCGAATTTCAGAAATTTAATATTGTAAAATTTCGTTGTAAAAAAAGTGAGTGTGCAGCAGAGTAGTTCACTCACTGCCAAAATTTGGCCTGCTCGCTCCCACAAATTCTTTCCAAACGCGAGGTCATTAACCTGAAGACCGAGAATTCTTGGTGGTGGGACATTAAGCGGACCGTGTATTTTCGCAATTCGCAATTTTTTTGACCGTTTTGCAACGGTCTTAGGAATTAGATTAACCCCTTGTTTTTACGAAGTTTTTGACCTACATACAAATTCAAAAATATGTATGCATTTTTCGAATTACTTGCTAAATTGATTTTTTTTATATTTTAAGTTTGATGGTAATAATTATTCACTCAAAACAATAAAGCACTTGATTGCATGACATTTACACATTTATTTATTTATTTAACTATAATTAAACTCTTGTACTCGAGAATGTCTGCAGCAGGGTATGAATAAATCGTCAACAAACAAGATAACGGAAATTTTAGAAGATTGGTTCAGGTTTCTGGCAGGATTTGTTTAATTTTTAAAGATTTTATACCACTGGACAAATTACACACGAATAATTATATTTCGAAAAGAAAATTGCACATTACAAAAACTTCTTATATGTACCAAATTCATATTTTTTACATTTAGCTTATCTTCAGAATCGTAATTTCTTAAATATCTACAAATTGGTATACTCTTATTAATCTCTAGATAGCACTTTTTTTAAGAAACTTCGATCAGATTAAGCATTATAATTAATTGTATACATTTATTAATAACGACAACGAGAACATTTAAAAAATTACGACATTATGGATATCAATTACTTAAAAATCTTTATTAACATTCTGAGAGAAAATTTAGCCTAAAATATTCCGAGTTTTACGAAATTTATTTGAATTTGAATAATTTGAGTTAATTTTTCCTGTCCGCCCCGTCACCCTCCTCATCTAGTTGGTCCAAGTGTTCTCGTTATCTCCATTTTTTCCTAGTTGTTGAGCCATACTTATGGTGATATCATCGATTCGAAGATAAATTAATTTGAGGAGCACCGCGGCCGAGTCCCTCCCTCGACAAAGCCGTGGACGACGATGCTGAAGGAGCAGGAATATTTTCGCCGCGTTCGAAATGCGGTGGACTGCCGGATCTCGGTTTATTGGATGAGAAGCCGCCACCACCACTAGATCCGGGTGTGGTTGGAGTGCGAGGCAAGATCGAACTGTCCCCACCTCCTCCTCCTCCCCCGGTGGGAAGACCACCACCGCCCCCGCCGCCGCTGGCACCTTCTCGCCCACTGCTGTCACGTTGATTCACCCAGTTGAGAAAGTCTTTGTGATATCTGTAGGGAAATTGAAATTAGTAGAATTAGAACCCCAATATTTTCAGGAAATTTGCGTGGATGTTTCCAAACTGAAAAATTATGGTAAACTTAGCTCCAAAATAGAGTGAAAATCGTAGATTTTTGTAAGTTTACAATAAATTTGTGGCCTCATTTTACTTTGGAACTTTTTGAACGTGCTCACGCGTTTGTGAGAAGTTCTAGTAAAATATTTCTGAAATACAGCGATGACAGATTTTTATAAGTTTGTAGTCTGATTTTCCCTGAACGCTTTTTTGAGGAATTTACTGAATTACAAACATCCCAGTGAACTGCTTAATTAATATAATTTTATCGTGCTATTTTTTTTTACCGATATTCCATTTGAATGTGGGCCGGAAGGTTCAAAACCTTGCGGAGTGAGTCTCGAATCCTGTCGGTAATTTCGTGATCCGCACAGTTCTTATTCCAGAGGGAGATACAGTCCTTCTTCTGTCGCATGGAGACCCCCGCTCCGCAAATTTCGTCCCCCAGGTCAAACTGCTCCCCAAGAATGGCAAGGATCAAATTCTCCCAGCAGCGTGCAGCCAGACCTTTGTTAAGACGGACGAGCCACTGACCACCGTCACGATTTCCCTAAAGAACAGATGCAAAAATAGTCAATTGTTTTAGAAAATCTTATAAAATTATGATATTTCTGTCAAATTTTATTCCACCTTGTGTTCCCACATGGGTTTGATTCCGTCCTTGAATACGAAAAAATCTGAAGGTGAATTTAAATCCGAGGGTCGGACGAGATGTGAATACAACGCCCAGAATTGTTCCACCGATGCAAATCTGCCAATTTTCTTGAGGGAAAAGTCATACTGTTGGTAATTCGTTTTTCCAATGTACCAAAGTCCATAAGTGTATTGAAGCTTGTGTTCTGAGGGGCCAACTTCAAGTGGGGGCTGTGGAAAATGGAGAAACAAGTTAATTATTTGTACTAATTTGATTTTCAATCCAAGATTATTTACCAAATCTTCATCGTCATCGACATCTTCTTCCGCCGTACTTTTCCGCAGACTGAAACGGTTTATAAACAGACTTTTTTCGTCGAATCGCAGTTGATTTAGAATTATGGGGAGGATTATCGAGTAGGATGTGAGTGGGGGTGGCGCAGGGATAGGATTTTTTATTTATTTTCGAATCCAGTCGTTGCAGATTGATTTAGATTTGTTTGTGTGTCAGGCAGGCAGGCAGAGTCGAGGAGGTAAAGAACATTCAGAGGAGGACAAGCAATAAAATGTAAAAAACATAAAAAAAAGAACAAAAAACAACATAAAATTAATACACAAAGTTATTGTGATGTCAATTTCTCGGGGTGGAAGGAAGAGGATTAACTGGATTAATGATTAATTAACTATTTTACGAACATACGATAATATTCGAGTCATTAAATGGATAAATGATTAAAAAGTTAATGGTTATTAACGTAAATCAACTAATTGTGCACAAAAAATTGAAGATACACCTGAACTACCCAACAAGGAGAATAGAATTTGGGAAAAAGTTACACAAAAACAAAAAAAAACAGAATTTCATTCAACATCAAAAAATACAGGAAAATATTTATGTGGGGATTGAAAATTTCAATTTGAAATTGACGTGCAAAAAAGATTCATTAATAATTATTATTGACCAATTTTATGAACTACTTACTCATCAATTACGGACATATTGCTGTAAGTTTTATCTTCCTTCAAAGGATTTGGCGACGACGGGTCTAGGATTTGGCGATATTTGACTAATCGAGCGAGATACGACAAGATCAGGTCACGAGATATTTAGCTGAAAAGATAACGTATTTGTTAAACTAATCAAAAATTATAAAACCAACTTGAAATTTAATAACTTACTCTCCAATTTTTACCAGAATTATTAAAATTAGATCACTTTTTCCTTCCCAAATAATTTGACTGATTGATGATGAGCTGGATTGGATAAACTTGAACTTTCGTTAATTATTACTCTTACAAGATACACACAACCCTGCACTTTAATTAAACCTTAATTGCAACAATTATAATTATAATAATTCTCGATAATACGATATCATCACAGATAATAGTTAAACAGCTTGTTTTGTTTACTTATTTTCGAAAACAGATTTATCTCGTGTAAAATATTTGCTGAATTTCGCGTAAAACTCGTTAAAAGAACTCTTCCTTCAATTTTTTTCTGCTGCTTGATTAAAACCAATTTCGAAAATCTGAGTATGTTGTTTTATTAATTTTTTATTCTCGGTTCATTCCACGATGCAAGATAGAAGTCAAAAATATCGAAAACACAATGCTTCCAAGTCTCAAAGAGAATGCGCCACGCGTATCAAGAACCACCACCGTCGGGCTATTACGCGATTTAGTGGATTTTCAGATTCGGAGAATTTTGCAAAAATTTATTATGTCTAATTTTTTTAGCGTGTGCAAATATGGACAAAATGAATTGATGCATGCATGCATATTATACGTAATCCCGGGTTTAGTTTATAAATGTTGCGAATTTTTATGCACAATTTTTGCAATAAGAATCTATAATGGAAAAAGTTTATTGTTTGCATACATTGTAAAAGAAATGAGTATAGGTTTTCGGAATTATTTTAGTATTATGCTTAACAGACTCGGAAGGCATGGATTTAAGCTGTTAATTAATTACACTGGAGTTAATCAACCCAATTAAGTCATACATCCATTTATAGTAATAACAAGTAATTTGCATCGCATTTTTTACCTCGGAATTTGCAAACTGGCAAACAAGACTAATTTTAGTTTTTTTAAGTAATAACAAAAAAATAACTAGTTTTTCGACTGTTAATTCTCACTCGGAACGGTTTTCAAGTACTCGTCGTACACCTTTTTCTGCTGGGCGTGTAATTTTTCGAGCTTTTTGAGCTGTGATTTTGTCACCGGGTTGCCTTCCGCGTCGTGCGTGGGGATTCCCTCCGGACCAAATTGGGAATACTTGTCTGTCTCTTTGAGGAAAAGTTGGGACGGTGGGATTCGACGGGCGGCCTCTTTTTCCGCCGCGACGCGGGCCTGTTCTTCCTTCTTCCGCGCTTTCTCGGCGGCACGGTCAGCTTCCAACTTGTCTTTTTGCTCCTTCTCTTTCCGCATGGCCTCTTTTCCAACGTATTTGACCGTGGTGGGACAGCCTGCATGTGAAAGAAAGAACAAATGCACATGATGAGATATTTTTTTAGGTAAGAACTCAAGTCAGTTAATTATCAATTAAAATCAATTAGTTAATGAAGTCATCATTTTTAACCGTGCAAAATACAAATTACAGTGACAAGCATTTAGCTTTCCCATCTGTTAAATTTTGAGACTTCGTGGTCAATAATCTAAACATTAGTTAAGTAACTTCAAAACCTCAATTTAATTCATTTGGCATTAAAACGAAGCAAAAATAGAAATAATTAGAAACTAATCACAAAAATCGAAGTTCTAATCTGAATCTCGGTACAATACACGGACAATTTAATTTTCCTACATTTAAATTATTCCTGAAGTGTTTAATGAAATCTAAAAGTTAAACGTAACTTCAAAAAACTCAAATTTAACTCTTTTGGCATTTAATTGGAGCAGAATTACAAATAATTTATAAAAATTAATCACAAAAATTATTTTTCTAATCTTTCATAATTTTGCACTTCTCTCCATTATCTTGTTAGCAAATCAGCAATAATTACCTTCATGATCCTCCAACCGCACCCCCAACTCGGGCAATTTACTATCCCTGATTTCATCACAGGCCTTTAAAATCGTCCCCTTCACGGCTGCGTCTCCTATCGATTTTGCCGTGGACCTAATCTGTTCCCGAAACTCGGATAATACTTCTACAAATGGGAGCACGGTTTCCTCCACGTCCACGCTTCCGGCCACTCCTTCCCCTCCGTCCGCACTTTTGAATCCAAAACTGTCCAATTCCGTTGAACCCGTGACGCCAAACATTCTCAAAATTGAGGTCACATATTTCGCTCCTGCCTTCAGTAAGGGCGAGTTAATTGGGGACTTTGCATTTTTGCAGGTTTGAATGTAAATATTGGACTCGGAGATGAGATCTCGCAGAGCAAAGAGGACACTGCGAGTGTCCACGTTGTCGCAGAGGGCGGCATGAACGGCGGCTTTTGCAGAGTCGATTCCTTTTTGCAGGGTGACGTCATCTTGACCCCATTTTGGGTAGGGATCCGGACTACAGCGCATCGCGGCTTTGACGTTGAGGAAGAATTCTGCAATTTTCTGCTCGTATTGGATCGCTGCTTCCATGCCGGAGGGAGAATAGTCGAGCGTATCCTTCCAAGAGTGGAGGAGGAAAGTGAGGCGAAGTTGGGGGGCAGTGTATTCATTTAAGGCTTGCCTTATGGTGATGAAATTTTTGAGTGATTTCGACATTTTACACCCAGCGATTGTCAAATGGCCAGAGTGGAGAAAGTAGGAGACCCAAGAGTTAGAGTTGTAGTAGGCTTCGGATTGTGCGATCTCATTGTCGTGATGGGGGAATTTCAGGTCAACGCCGCCTAACAGGAATACAAGTAAATTGAGGAATTATTTGGGGAACAAAATTCCTACTTGAGAAAAACTTGAGTAAAGATACTTGAGAATTTAGTAATCTGTGCAAAATTAATTTCAAAATTTGCTAAGGATTTATTTGTAAAAATGGTGGGAATGTGAAATCATTAAGGAATCATTAAGGAATTAAAGAATCATTAAGGATTCTTGAGGGATTAGTATAATTTTTATTCGAAACATGGTTTGAAACTGTGAGATACAATATCTCGGCTGCTTCGTGGATAAGGGTTTATCTGGGCCTAGATGCGTGTGCCTTTGGGATGGATATACCCCGTCACAAATAAGCCCCTATCCTTCAGAGAGACGAAATATTGTATCTCATCTCAAAGGTTAAAACCCTTCAAATGCATAAAGTTTGTTTTAAGGAACCAGGGTCAAGGTGGTCACAAAACTTTGCAAAAAGTGCACATCTAAACAAATTATGCAAATTATGCAAATTCACAAATTCCTCACACCCACCCGTATGAATATCCAGCTCTTTTCCCACGATCGCACTCGCCATAGCAGAGCACTCAATATGCCAGCCAGGTCGTCCCTTTCCCCACGGAGAATCCCAAGATGGCTCGCCACGACGCGATGATTTCCAGAGAGCGAAATCCGCAGGTGACCTCTTCTCACTCGTGGCACGGGATGAGGTCAGCTCGCCTAGTAAAAAAAAGAAATGTCATATTAATTAACTGTCCTAATTAATTAGTTACAACCCAATTAATTAATTACCCTCCCCCTCCATTAACATCTTCTCATCTCCTACCGCTTCCGGAACAAGTTTAGCATACTTATGATTCGGATCCACCCTAAATTTCGCCACGTCAAAGTAAACCGATCCATTTGACTCGTACGCAAATCCGTTGGCGATAATGGTTTCGATATAGGACACAATTTCCGGCACGTATTCGCTCACCCGGGTGAGAACGTCGGGTGGGAGGACGTTCAGTGCAGTCATGTCGGAAAAATATTCACCCTCCCAGCGTCGCGAGAACGTGTTGAATATTTCATTTTCAAAGACACGGTCGTCAGAAACTTTACGGTCGAGCCAGTCGTACAAAATATCGCGACCGCTAGCGAGCAATATTTCTTTTTGAGCAGCGAGATGTTCCGCATTGTCAGAATTTTTATTAATTTCCGCCTCAACTTGGGCCATTACAGCTTTAACGTTGCCCAAACTTCGTTCCCGCATGGTTTTCTTATCGGGATCGGTTTCTGCGAGGGTCGCGGTCACGTAGGATTCAATAGCGAGCGTAAGATCCGACGTGATGGACGAAATTGTAGTCGACGGGGAGGCAGAGTATTCAGCAAAGAGGTATTCTTGCCGGGCACGCTTGATAATTTTATCGTCGACGTCTATAAATGAAGACAAGATTGCGATTAGTTTATAATTAATTAATTACTAATTAAAATTAGTACATTCTCACCCGTAATATTCATCACGAAAAACACGTCATATCCAAAATAATGGGTCAACACACGTCGCAAAATATCAAACGAAATATACGACCTGGCGTGACCCATATGCGACGCATCGTACACCGTTGGACCGCACGAGTACCAAGTAACATGTCGTCCGGCAGGGTCACCCGGGCGAAAATCTTCCACCGAGCGGGTCAAACTGTTGTACAGGCGGAGTCCTGTCGTCAGTGTCGCCATGATATCCTTGTTTTATCTACAAAGACGAAACATATCACATATTTTTATAAATACAATTTTCAAAATTAGGACAAGTTACCTTTACAATTATTAACTCTCCACTTTCACCAACAATAGAACAATGAATGAATGAACCGTCTCCAATTGTCCTTCTACTGTCCTCAATTGTACTATCCTCAATTTCCTGATGAAATCCAACCGCACGGTTTCACCGACACGTCAAATTCCCTCAAATCCAGCAGCCGGACCGGATGCTCTTATCTACAAAGAAGCAGCGACATATTTTATTCTTATAAATAAAATTTCCAAAATTACAACAATTTACTTACTTTACGATTATTAATTAACTCTCCACTTCAACAATGAATGAATACTATTGTTCTTCTCCTATAATTTCCTGATGAAATCCAACCATACGGTTTCTCACCGACACGTCAAATTCCCTCAAATCCAGCAGCCGGACTGGATGATCCAACTATTCGCGAATTTTAGTCGTGTGTTCATGTATGGTGTGCGAATTTTCACACGGAAAAACTTTCCCACCCCGGCAGCTGGGAGAGCATAGACAGATCTCTGTAAATCCAAGTAGAAACAAACAGTAGATGATATTTCACCCTTGTTCTTGTTCTTCTAAAGGACATTGAATATTTTGGTGGAGAGTGTACATTTCGCCTGCAATGTTATGAGGGGATGGATGACAAAGACTTGGTTGGTTAGTTGAGAGAAGGGGATTTTGTGTGTGTGTGTTGCTTAAAAAACTCGAGTCAGTTTTCAGTCTCAGGCCAACTTGGATTTGGATTGGACACATTTGTTTTTTCCTTTTCGTTTACATACTCATATAAATATTCTCTAATAAGAAAGACGATAAAGAACGAAGGAAGAACAATAATGTCCTGAAAATAAGGGGAGATTTTAGTTTGAGTTTTTAACTGACTTGACGTGACGGTGGGAGGAGGAGGAGATAATTTTGAAGTTTTTGTTTTATATATTTATGAATTGAATTGAGAAGAAGTGAGTTTTTGTTATTGTTTTTTGAAAATTTGTGGGGATATATAAATTGGATCGAAATTTTGGTGAGTTGAATTAGTTTTTCATGTTTACTACATCTTTAAATAGGGATGCAAAAAAAAAGTTTAAATTGTGAATATTTAGTTTGTGACGTTGAAGTTAAGCAAGAGTAAAATATTTTTACGAGAGTAAAATATTTTTACGAGAGTAAAATATTTTTACGAGAGAAAAATAAAATTAGATTTTTGTGCAACTTGGAAGTTTATGTATATAATTTTATTTTAGTTGGTGGACAATTTGAGGTTAATTTATACAGGATAATGTAGTTTTGTATTTTTACAAAATATGAAATTTTTAATAAAATAGGATATTTCTAAATTTTTATTCAGATCAGAAAAAGTAGTAAACTTATTAATGGGCCAGTGACTTTGCATCTAATCGTTACAATTCCGTATTTTATTTAATGCAAATTCTCCTTTCTGGCTTCGAAAATACACAAATGCAAATTCTCCTTTCTGGCTTCGAAAATACACAAATTTTCATCAAATTTCCATTTCCCTTTGCCCAACAATTGACAGGAAGTCATCCGATTCATTTCATTCACATTTTACATATTTGTTTAACATTTTGATGATAAGAGAAATGCATTTTTCGCTGAATTTTGATAACGATATTTGATATCTCTCTTATCTCGGCTGGATGAATGTCCTCGTTAATAAAAGAAAAAAAAACACACAATAATATGGGTTCGGTTATATGCGGTCAAAGTCACACTTTTAACGTTTTGTACATAAGTAACCGGATGAACTCTGTATTATTTGTTTAAAATGACGAATGACCTCTCTCTCTCCAGTATTTAAATAGTTTAATTACTAAGCCGCTGACTCATTAGAAATCAGTTTTTTTGTACCTCGTAAAATCCGTAAATTTGGTAAAATTATTTTACAAATTTTTACAAAATATCCCTTGATCGGAGCAAGTTTACAAAAATTTGTGAGCTAATATTCCTTCGAAATATCTGTAAAATTTTGTAAAAGTTATAAGTTTACAGAATTTACAAAGTTATTATCAAAGACTGCTTGAATTATTCACGTTTTTATAAAGAAAATCTGGTCTGGTACAGTTTATTTATTTACACATGACTCACAAGTTTTTGGTATTTATTTAGAAGTCAACAAAATTTTAATGATTAGTTAATCAGTTAGTTAAATATTATTTAAATACGTTATCATCGCTCATCATCATCATCGTGCATGTATGCGATGTCATTTCAAGACAAGGATTATGTTCATGTCTGGACCTGTCGAGCGGAAAATTACGCAATGATTCATCATCGCTGTAAATAGTCCAAGTTAATTATTTAATATCAGTTACATACTTTGCGACAGCTTGATAATTGTTCAGCTGCACGCAGTTGTTTTCGTATTTTGAAGGATGATTTCAATTTTTGTAAATATTTGCATTTCATTGGGATGAGAATTTTGAAAATTAAAATTTTTTGAATAAGTTGAACGTTGATTTTGAATTAGTTAAGAATTATTTAATTAAATTTATAAATAGATGCGAAGTACACCTAATCGAATAGATGGGAGCATGTTTTTTTGCGAAAATTATTTTATGTTAAATTTTGCATAAAATTTTATACCTTAATTTACCAATTTCTGGTGTCTTTTACCCTCCAAGAAATTGATTTAATGCTCGTTTAGTCATCATTTTATCACTTTTTGGAGCCATGTTTTTCTTTGCGGTTAAGTTTTTGGTTTAGTTAAGCATTTGCATTTCACATAATACTTAATATGGGAACTAATCGGATGAAAAGAGGAATAAATAATTGGCGGAAGTGATGTAACATTATTATAGAAAAGATAACTGCTTATCGGAAATGTCATCTCTTAACTATCACTATCATCACGATATCACTTGAATTTTGATGGATTAAATTGAATCTTTTTCCCACTAGAATTCACACCGTTTAATAGGTTTGAAAAAAAACTGGCAATTTTCATAATACAAATACGATACATAAGAGGAGGAGGGAGCCATCAATCAGTTTAGTTTAATTTAACAAGGCAGCTAGTCAGGAAATTGTGTTTTTTTATATTTTTTCAATGTGAAATGTGAAGAAGGACACAATTTTCTAACTTGTTGAGTAACTTGATTGGAATTTTAGATGCGTTTTTGTTGCATAAATTGATTGATGAGTTTTTTTAACCTGGATTTAAAATTGTCCTTAGGAATTGCTGGTTCTAATTATATAGTAATATTCGGAATTTTATTTTTCTTGCATAAAATGACGGATGTTTTTTTTAAATCTGGATTTAGAATTGTTGGAATTTTTTTAAGGGTACGATTGATTTAAAATTGGTTTTTTGCTTGATGAACCTATATTCTATCTGTAATTCAAATTTGCTCGTGAATATTTAGTTTTGTCAGAATCGGCGTTCAAATGTTTCAATGGGAAATTTACTACATTATTTTAAAAACTTTTATGTTTCCGAATTGATTTTTAACCTGGATTTAAAATTGTAGGGACTATTTTACTTTTTAGAAGTATGATTGATTTAAATTAAAATTGACTAGCAGGGATAGCTGAAGTTACCATCTTTATTTCAAAATTAATCGAAAAATTTTGGTTTTGTCCGAATTGACGTTCAAATGTTTCAATAGAAATTTATTTAACACTTTTTGAAAACTTGTAGGTTTCAGAATTACAAAAAAAGAAGAAATGATTTTACTGGATTTTTGTTCCGAGTTACTATTTTAATTTGTATTTTTTTAGTACAAATTACATACATCTTTATGTAAAAGTTTATCTGAAATATTTAATTATGATAGAATTAGCAACAAAATTTTGCAGTATTTTGAAAACCTGTATGTTTCCGAGTATCCTAAAAAGAAAAAAAATATTTCAACTAACGTTCCGTGTTTTTTTTTAATTTTCTTCATTTTTATGTTCTAGATTATTTTATTTGGATGAAGTTACACCTATATTTAACTTTGGCCTAGATTTTTACATATTAAACCAGAACTGGCGTTCAAACCTGGCAATATAATTTTTAACTGGAAATTAAATCGTTTTAAACATATTTGAACATATTTTCGAAAAAATCTGACTCTTAAAAAAACTGAATAATCTAAATAATCCGAATAATCTATCTTGAATAATAATTTCTCGATGGGTTTCGAATTTTGTAAAAAAAAATGGGTCTTTATTTATTCATAACTTTTAAAAGAAAACGTATTCTTTTGTAAAGTTCTGAATTTCATAAAATTTTCTTCGCCTTGTTTTCATTTCTTCGCCTTGTTTCCCATCTTGTACGGCAAAAAAACGGGAATTTACTTATGTATTTTCCAAATTTCCCCTCCCTCCAACCGATGAATTATTCAGTCAGGAAGGAAATCAAACGGGATCCATCAATTCCATCCAATTCCGTTTTATTGATCCGGATTATTGAATCAGAATTTTTTTATAGCTTCCCTTCCCTACTTGTTGAATTCACTCGTACTATGTAATAATACGTTTAACACCAATTTGGCACACCAACAACCAGAGAGACCACATTTTGCCCTTGTGGAACTCTTTTTATGGATTATTTCACCTTTTAGGACGATTACGATTTACAGTTTAGGTTTATTTCGTGTACGTATCGATACCACATTTTGAGTAGTAAAATATAAATCCATATAGATATTAATCTACTTCAAGGAGGTGGATAATATGGATCATAGCATTAAAGTGGATTCGATGCAGGGCTGTACAAAAAGAATGGGGTCAAACACCGGATTAAAATTCCAGAAAAATGGGACCCAGTTATTTTTCAATCATTTTATTTACGCGTTTTATAGATGATTTATCCTTTTACGACTTTGTCTTTCGTAAGTTTGAATCTCAAGTTCGTTAGAATTGGAAATTTGTTAAAAGTAACCCAAAGAAATTCTCTTGTATACTTTTTAATTTTCAAATTGCAAAGTGTCACTAAATCGAATCCATATTTTAATATGCACCCTGCAAAAAAGGACTTCAAGTCACTCTGATTTATTATTAAAGTGATATCGATGGGGTACAAATTTATTACCATTTTTACACCCCCAAAAACTTGACAATTTTTTTGCATAATTTAACTGAACCACCAGCCAAAAAAAGAACAATCCAGGTCGCACAGCATGCATATATTGCCTTCCCGTCCGACATTATTACTTCGTGAACCGTAAAATACATAAAACGAAATGATAACAAACCTTGACTGACCGACATGGTAAAAAATAGTATAAAAATCCTTATCCGAAATCCAGCCAGCCCGTAAAATCCTCGTCCTCTTGTCCACTACAACATACATAATATCCTCGTCTTGTCCACTACAACTTAATACAAATATACGACCCGTAATTGCATGTTACATACGATGAACGAGGAAGAGACCACGACTACCAAATTGTATAATGCATCTAACAGGATGAAGTAATGAGAAGAAGATTTCTGCAGAAAGAAGAAGGACGAGGAACTGCATGTCATACGTTTATCAGTGCCGGCGGAAGTTGGGGGGACATATGGGGACATTAAATTAACATTAAGGGATTGGAGGAGTAGGAACTTATTAACATGGACAAGATACAATTTTGCCGGATTTATTTTATACCATCCAACGAAAATATGGTTTATTCCAACCAAAATTAATATATTCGCCAATCATGACATGCAATCAATTTATTTATTTTACATCAATTTTCATTAAAATTTCCAACAAAATAATTAAATTTTCATAATTGAAATAGAAATAACTTTTGCTGGGGGGACAATGTCCCCTCGCTTCCGCCGTCAATGTGTCGCATTATACGTCCTCCATGTCACTTGGTCTGGTCTGGTTGGCATTAGGCAAGATGTGACCAGAATACGGGACGATTTTCAGACAGACACACACACAGAATTTGCTCGTTGTATAAGAGTCTTATCTTTACTTTGGTGCATGTAGTTTAGTCGGAGGAATGGATTTTATATCGAATTTGCTATATTTGTAATGTAAAGACTGGACTGGACGAGGAGGACGCGAGGCTGGAGTAGAATGCACAATTAGATGGATTGACTTGCCTGGTGGGTTAAATTTATTGAATGGTTTATCGAATATAATGGAAAGGAAAATGATATCAAGAGAGAGAAAAGTAATTGAAATTTGAGACAGACGAAAAAACTTTTTGTTTGGATTAGGAATGGATTTTTGGTGTAATTTATCTATTTGCTTATTAATGTGGGGCGGAATATATATATTGGTATGAAAAAATAGCAAAATGGTTACGAAAAGTATGGATTTTGGGTCAAATTTTGGTAAAATTATTATTTAGCTGATTTTTTTATCCAATTTATTTCATGATGGAACGCTACACCTACAAGCTACAACCTAAGTTTGTCAAAATGTATGTCAAATTTGTGTTTTAAACTAAATGGACGCAGAAATCACGCATTTTTTCAAATAGATTAAATTTTTAATTCTCACAAAAAAAATCTCGCAAACATATTGGAGGAAAACCTCGAAACGAGGATTTTGATATTTTAGCGAACTTTCACTGAAATTTTAGCAAAATTTATAGTAATGCAGTGAACTTTTTATTGAAATTTTGGCGATTTAGTTAACTTTTTTTCTGACATTTTTGTGATTTTACTGAAATTTTGAAAGATTTTTAAATAGTAACTCGTAAGCAATTTGGCCAAATTTGTAGCAAAATTTTGGAAAAATATTTAAAAGTTTCTGCTAATTCTGAGCCACAAAATTTGACAAGCTTACACACAACCTCATGAAAATAAATCCATATCCACCCTTCCTCAAATAACATGCAAAATTAAGACTTGTAACGTAACCAACACGCCAAAATTATTCAGTTTCTTTGCATGGTCACAAATTCTAGTCATAAAATCTCCTTTGTTTTTCCCATTTAGAGCTCTTTCTTATACTCTGGACTGGACTGGACTCAATTTCACACCGGATTTGGCACTCACTCTTTATCATCAAATCCACTCTCTGGACTAAACTCTGTGGGAGGAAAGACTTTTAAGTATTTGTTTAATATTCGCACACTCATAAAACTCGGTAATAACTTTTTGCGGAAATTTGCATAATTGTGACCCCTTCTTCAGGGTGTGAATAAGACATTCTCAGATATTTTCTACGATACGATACACACCAGTGCAAATATTATTTTGCAGTCGTATTTACATAAATATTCGTATGTTACACATGTGGCTTAAAAAAGTGCAGTTTAATCACAAGTGTTAATAAAGAAAAATCGCCGCCTTTTTGCCAAAAATTTGCACAACTTCAAGTTTCTAACGGTTTTTGTACGTAAACACGCACATGCACGTGAATACGAACGGTTTAAATTAATTAGTGTGAAAATTTACGGTGGTTTTTAGTGTTTGCGAATTTAAAGTGCAATTCAATTTTGCATCATCAATGACGACGACGACGACGTCCACGACGAACTGGTTCCTGGCCTCGGGGCTTATCTTACATTAGGACCGATAAGAAGAAGATAAGTGCTTGTTGGGGGGGATATTAAGGGGAAATATGCGTGAATTTAAGGTGGTGGTGTTGGGATCTGGGGGCGTGGGGAAGTCCGCCCTGACCGTGCAGTTTGTGTCGGGCTGCTTCATGGAAAAGTATGACCCCACGATTGAGGATTTTTACCGGAAGGAAATCGAGGTCGATGGGTCGCCGTGTGTGCTGGAAATACTCGATACTGCCGGGACGGAACAGTTCGCTTCGATGAGGTGAGAATGAAATTTTATGTTTTTTTTTTAGGAAATTTATGTAGGGTTTGGTAAATTAATTTTTGAAGCCGGAAATTCTGTAAATTTACAAAATTCCAAAAAGTTTGATCTGAAATTTTAAATTTGAATAAAAATTCACGAAAAGTATCCAATCTGGTTGGTAGAACTCTCTGGGTTCTAACTTTGTGGAATTCTGTAAACTTTGTAAATTTAAATACTTCCACCGGTTTGTCTTGCTAATCTGAAATTTTAAATTAGAATAAAAATTTATGGAAAATATCAAATCTGGCGTTAATATTTTGAAAATTTTTGTGTAAAATGCAATTTACGTAGGTCTTGGTAACTTCGTAAAATCCGTAAACTTATAAAGTTTTAAAAATTAAAATATTTCTGAGGAAAATTACCTTACAAATTTGTATAAACTTACTCAGATTAAGGGCGTCTCTTTATTTTGTAAAAGTTAGTTTGTAAAATTATTGTACATGCAAAACGCACATATTTTGATTGTACGAGTTACCAATAACTGCGTGAATTGCTGCATTATTCTTGATTCTGTGCAAACTGTGTAAAAAAAACGGAAATTTTGAAGGACTGGGATTATTTTAGACTTTTATCATTATTTTCGTACAAAGGAAATATTATGGAGGAAAATAAAGTTACACGCAAAAGTGACATTTTGACAACGTATAAATTATTGCGTTGCGGTTCAGTCGCATGTTCTTGTAAACTCTGTAAAACAAAAGGAAAACCTTGAAATGATTGATTTTTTGGATTGTAAACTGATCACTTTTCGTAAAATGAAGGAGGATTGCAATCTCTGGAAACTTTTGGCAAGTTTTTGCGCAAACATTTACAAAGGCGACAAATTTAGCTTGATACTTTACAAGCGTTTCTTCTCTCTATTTACAAAATAATTTTACAAAAATTACGCAGTTTGAGTGACTTAACTGCCACATTGTCATTTAAAAATAAATAAAATTATTTTTTGCAACACAAGATAGTAAAATATGAATAGTGAAAAATTTATTAAAATCTTGAAAATTTGTCTACTGGAAATGTCATGTTGTATTGATTTTCTCTGTAATTTGTCATCCCAGAATTATGACAAACATTCGATTATGAATGAATACATAAATGTATTCATTCCTACAAATTTTATAGTTTACAAACAGCTGAGCTGAATAAGCTAAATATGTAATTTTGCAAAACTGCATTTCATATGTCCGAAAATTCGAAAATTCTAAAATGATTCGTTCCATTTGTTAAAATTCTGTGAATCTGTTCCTTGATTTTTTTTTATAAACAAGACGTAATCATAAAATTATTAAAATTATGATGATTTATGTAAAAGATTAGAAATTGGAAATGTTAATTATTTTTTCTAGGGACCTCTACATCAAGAACGGTCAAGGATTTCTGGTCGTCTACTCGATCACGAACCATCAAACGTTCCAGGACATAAAGACGATGAAGGAACAGATCTCCAGGGTCAAGGGGATGGACAGAGTGCCTTTACTACTAGTCGGAAATAAGGTAAGCCACCACCACCTTACCTCAATTTTTTACCGGTTTTTTGGTAGATTTTTTACCAGTCTTGGTAAAACATTTGACAAAAGAAGTTGTAGTAAGTATTCGGTTACCAAATTTGCAACGAAACGTTTTTACCAGTTATGGTAAATTTTTACCGGTTTTTGGTAGAATTTTTATCACTTTTGGTAAAACATTTGACAAAGGAAATTGTATTTGGTTATACCAAATTAGTAACGAAATTAATTTTGGTCCCAGTTTTGGTCACATTTTTAAACCACAGTCCATTTTTTAAAGCATTAAACCACCTTATCTCAATTTTTGACCGATATCCATCCCATTTTCGTCGGGTATCAAAGAAGACCAAAAACCAGACGGGATTTTTAATGCATCACGTTAAATTTTGAAGGATTTTCTTTCTTCGGAACGCAGACGAAATGTATGTTTATTTGGTTAAAGGGTAAAAAAGGCCGTTATATTTAAATATACAAACACACACGACGAGATGAAAATGCATACAGGAAAGGAAACCATGATTCGTTATGGAATGGAGAGAGAGAGAGACGAATTTCGAAAAACGGGTGGGTCGTGTTCTGTGCTGTTAAAAAATATTATGTAATTCTGTTTTAAGACGACTTCCTGTTTTCATTTCACATAGAGAGAGACTCAGTTTATTGAACAGTTGGTTGTTACAGAGTAGAATTTTGGAAAATTTTGAAGAATTTTGAGAAAATTGAGATTCGGAAATTTAAAGTTGAAGGTTTGATTTGGGACACGTTTGAAGAAATATTTTCAAAATTTTGTGGTAGAATTGAGTTTTTTGTAAAATATGACGATTTATACAAATTCTAAGAAATATGTATTTTGATTTCTGACAAGTTTGAAGAACTATTTTATAAATTGTGTGCTTAGAAGTTTTCTTGTTTGTAAAATTGTGATGATTTTTTTAAGAAAACTTTTGTAAATAAGTTTCCGGATTTGATTATTCCGTTACAAAGCAAAGACCTTCATGAATTAGTCTCCAATTGAACTGGATATTTCTGGATTTATTATTTGTACCACAAGATTTGGGTCTGGTGCCGATTTGGTGTCTCCAAAAAATAGGATGTCACTTTTTCTAATGGAAGCTCTCATTGTTTTCTCATCCCTTATCGTTTATTCCTGTCATAAAATTTGGTGACCTTTGCACCACCACGAGGACGACCTTTCTGCTATTGAGGCTTTATATTTACTTAGGTGTTGACACATTGTTGTCACGAGGATACCGATATTGGTTGGTAATAATATGCCTGCATGGGGTGATAATTTGATAGGATGTTCCTCCCTTTTTACAAGAAAAAGGTAGTTTGAAAGAAAACAATGAGGCAATTCACGCAGTCCTTGGTAACTTTGTAAAATCGATAAATTTTATGAAATGAGTTTACGAACTTTTACAAAATCAAAAGACGCCCTTGATCTTACCAACTTTGCAAAAATTTGTAAGATAAATTTTCTTATGCAAATATATATTTGTAAAGGTTTGTAAGTTTACGGATTTTACAAAGTTACCAAGGCCTGCGTGAATTGCCTCAGTGAATAATTTTTGTGAATTTAATTTTCATAATTTTGACGCCGTTGTTCATATTTCTTATAAAATTTAATACTTGTTACTGAACAAGATTACATGAACAGGGTGTGTGAGTTTACGGATTTGAAATATTTTAAAAATTTTTGTAAAAGTTTGTAAGTTTACAGAATTAAGTTTGCAAACATTTCCAAAATTTTGCAACTATCCTGAAAGAAAATTAGGCTACATTTTTTTAAAGTTTACACAGATCACGTGCGTTTTTTTTTATTTTGTACAAGTCAGTAAAATTATTTTACAAAATTTATGCCTTTTACAAAGTTACCAAGGACTGCGTGAATTGCCTCAATATTAAATATTACACGATTTCCTTTCCTTTCTTGACACGAGTAGTGAATGGTGGGTTGAATTTTGTCGTCACTTACGTGAAGGGGTTCACTTTTGAGCCCGGTTTTTTGTCACCATTTGTTTATTACCCTTATCAAAGTGGAAATGGAGAGGAAATGGGGAAGGGTCATTATTATTATTAAGTTCATAAATTGAGGCATCCATAATTCACACTTATTTACAATTGTACTCATGTATGCATTCATAGTGGATTTTAAATAAAAGGGTTGGTTTTTAAAAGGGTTGAGGACCGTGGTGAAGAAGGCTCGTCTTTCTCACGTCACAACTCGGTATTTTCTTCACCTTTTTAAACATATAGTTGTTACAGTTTGGATTTTGAAATATCGTTTTGTTCATGGTGGTGGTGGTAATTGTGGGTAAAAAGGCTACTTGATGAGAAAGGTAGAAATTCATGTAAGGAAGGAGAAGGACACGCTTAGAAATGTTTGATCAAGTTTTTACCGGTTGTGGTAGAGTTTTTTTTACCGGTTTTTGATAGAATTTTTTTCCGTTGGTAACACGTTTGACGAAGTATTTTGTTACCAAATTTGTAATGAAATGAATGGTCGTCTGTTTTTTTATATTTTTTTTACCAATTTGGTTGTAAAATTCCTTTTAAACAAATTTTAGTTTGTCCGTGTTGGTACAAAATTTGACAAGGAAATTGTAATATCTCGGTAAGAAAGGTTACCAAATTGGTAATGAAGTGATTTTTGGTAGCATGTTTGGTCTGATTTTTATTACCAGTACATTTTGTTACCAATTTGGTCGTAAAAGAAATTTCACCCTACAATTTTTAAGAGAGGCGCCACATCGTTATCTACCTACATATGCAAACCAAATCCATTTCTACTTCTGGTTTATTACACGTCGGAAATGGAATTGGAATATCAAATCTCAAATAATGGGACTGGACTTGAGAAGAAGAAGCCGTGTAACGAGTACCTCCTAATTTTTTTGCAACAATTACTCAACAATCCGACCAGAAAAGAAGCGACGAACGATGGAAATGGAGGCATTCGTGCATCTCTAAACAAGTACAGAAAGATTGAGATATGCATGCGGTTTGGTTTGGTCGCTTCTGGAGCCAGGTTTTATTGTGATGGTAATTTATTTCTTTACAAGAAACGAGTCAAAAACCGACGGACCGTGTTACATTTTCAGACGATGAGGAGATGAAATGAGCTTCTCTTCTATTATTAAGGGCCCTTTCCTTTGAGAAGGAGTCCAATTTATTCAAATTTATTTCGTGAAATGGGTCTCATCAGAGAGGTGAATTTTAACTCGAGTGATTATTGAGATGGAAGCCGTGTGGATTGTGTCGAGTTTATAGGAAGGGAAATTGAAATTGAAATATTTAAGCGATGAAAAATAAATTTCCAATTATTCCGGGAATTTATGAGAATATAGGTAGATAGCTTTCATATATCGCGTATTTTATAAGTAATTATGTATGTACGGAAAATGTGACTTTTAACTCTCATTGGCGAGTCGTGAAATTGAAGTAGAGGGATAGAATTTGGAGTTATTTTCGAAATTTGTTATGGCGAAGGGAGGAATTTAATTTGGAGAAAGTTTTGCATATTAATTTTTTTTCTGTCTATTTTGTTTTTACTGGAGAAAGAAAAGTCTTAAATTAATTAAGATATTTATTGCTTTTTTTGGTATATGTGTGGAATTTGAGTCGTGAAAAATAAGGTGAATTTTAACTCGTTATTTAGATGGAAGAAACTTTATAAAGTGAAATTAATTGAAATAAGGATAAAGTTCGTAATTATTTTCGATATTTATTTTGATGAAAAGAGAAATTTTGTCTTGAGAAACTCTTAGAACATTACTATTTTCTGCGTTACGTATTTTGTTTTTATTACTGGAGAAAGAAAGTTATTTAATTAATTAAGGTTTAAGTTATTTAATTAATCAAGGTTTTCCTAGCCATACACAGTATTTATTTGTATGGGATATATTTATGAAGAGTCGTGTTCTTTGACGGGTAAAAATGATTGAAAAAGAAGATTTTTTTCGCAAGAAACTTTTTGCCCAAAACTTGCCAAGGTTTTGTGAGAGAGAATCTGTAAAAATTAAATTAACGAGTACAAGAAAAATAAGAGGGAGAGATTTGTTTGAAGTTTTGTTACGTGTCGTGTGTGTGGGCGAAGGGTTGTGCGTAAAGGGTGCAGATTTCTTTTTTCGTTGATTTTGAATGTGTAAGTCAGATTGTGCAAAAATGTGCAAAAATGTGGTCAAATTTTTATGACGTTTTTTATGCCCGGCCCCATCCATCCCGATAATTTGATTAGTTTATTACTTTTTTTTTACGTAAGATGTTGTTTTCTTACATAAAAAGTTTCAAGTTTTAATTAAGATCGGAAAATTGGTGGGATTTGGCAGGTTTCAATTTACAAGATTTTTGTCAAGGTTTGGTGTCAAATGGTGATATTTTTGTGAAATTTTGAAGCTAATTTGTAACTTAAGGTGCGTTTATGCTTCACGTCATCGTCACGTCCTCCTTCAAATCCGATTTTTTGATTGGTTAAAATTTTTAATTGTCGTAGTGATAATTTAGTTCAGCCAATCAAAAAATCGGATTTGAAGGAGGACGTGACGATGACGTGAAGCATAAACACCACTTTAGGAGGAGAGCGTCACCACCTGCCCTTCACAGATCTCGATGCCCTTTGGATATGTGGTAGGGTCCTATGAGTGTACTAAAACCCTGAAGTGGTTTGACTCCATGGCCACATTTGCGCCCGCCACACCCACTCAAAGGGATGAAAACCACAAAAGTTACCAACTTCAAAAATCCACCAAAAATCCAATTTTGCGCGGATTTTGATAAAATTTGCATTTTTGTGATCCCAGATACTTGCCTGATAATATTCAATAGCAATCTCAACCTTTTTGAAATTTTTGAAATTTTCCAGCTGATGAACTATTCGAAAAAATTCAAAATTTCCAAAAAGTTGGGATATCTACTGGATATGATCACACAAGTATCTGGGATCACAAAAATGCAAATTTTATCAAAATCCGAGCAAAATTGGATTTTTGGTGA